GAGCTTCATCTGCCTCGGGAGACACGCACTACACTCGCACAACTTCGCTCCGGCTACTGCAGCAGGTTAAACTCCTACTTGAGTAGGCTGAATGAGGATGTGCCGAACGAATGTCCGGCATGCGGAGAGACCCCACATGACTCGAAACATCTCTTCGCATGCCCGGCAATCCCGACATCCCTAACGGCCTTGTCCCTATGGGCAAACCCCGCAGAAGCTGCACGCTTCCTAGGGTTGCCGTTAGTGGAACTTGACGACAACGACTGAGATGCCAACCGATCTGGGCGGGGTTGTTGTAGCCGCTACAACAACAACAACAACAATTAGTTCTCATAAAGCAGCCTCTCGACCCGTTAGCATACCGACAGGCCCTGAGCGGCATTCACAGGGAGTCGGTCTCAAGTTACGTAAACTCCAGAACTGTAAATGCCGTTCTTCGTCTGAGCTTCGTCTGCCTCGGGAGACTCGGACCACAGTAGCCCAACTTCGCTCCGGCTACTGCAGCGTATTGAACTCGTACCTGATCAAACTGGATGTAGATGTGCAAAATGTGCGCGAGGCATGCGGAGAGGCACCCCACGACTCGAAACATCTCTTCGCATGCCCACTCAACTGACGCCTCTGTTTCTACGGACGGACCCTATAGAAGCAGCACGCTTCTTCGGTCTCCCATTAGTTGAGCTTGACGACAACGACTGAGTGACTAGCCGAACTGGGCGAGGTTGTTGTAGCCGCTACAATAACAACAACAATAATAAGTTCCCAACTCCAAGGTACTCTGAGGCTGTTATCCTCTTAATTTTGGCCGGTGAATGCTGCTCTGATAACGAAAAACCGACAGAAAAAATTTTTAGAGCATTTAAAATCCCACAATCGTTAAGCTGGAGCCGGGAATTCGGGGCAGTTGTTAAGTGCACGTGATGATCTCGGCAATTTGTATTTGACTCTGGAAGGCACTAAGTCAGACACAAAACGCTCAAAAAATGTAAAAGCTGCGCCTAAAAAACTCATCCCAAATAATAGAAGGCCTTCGTCAAAAGCGTATGTACTTAATATGTACTACATATGCATATAATCCAATGGTGCGCCATGAGTAAAATTCAAGCCAGTTTTTAATTATCAGCATTAGACAAACATTCTATTATAAAACCTTTCATAATGACAGAATCACGCACACCCCTATTGTTTGATTATAAATTAAATTATATTTTGCTTTCTAAAAGCTCGCTCAATTACAGCTGCGTGCACTCTTATTATTATTCATTCTACATAATTGCGGTTTTTCTTCATATATTGTACATAAATACATAAAAAAAGTCAATTGGTTTCATTTAATAAGAAGTCGACTAAATAAATAACAATGTTTACTATGTATACAACAAAATAATAGCACTACCAATTTAAACAAATAATACGTTTATGCCTGCATTCAATTGTACGAGGAACGATCGAAAAGTGCCCATTATTAGTTACAGTTAAAGTTGCTCGCTTGAAAATTGCTTATTAGCTGAGCTCAGTACTTATCAGCTTGCTGACCCGTTCAACTCTCAACCCCATCACCTTACCTTCTCGCTGTGTGCGCGAGGCATTATTTAGAAACTAACTCGCGTGTAGAGTTGCTTGTACTGTACTCTAGTAAATTGTTAGACTCACCGAATATGGTTAATAAAAAGAGAA